CCCCCAAATTCCCCCAAATTCCCCCAAGCCCCGCTCACCTCGCCGTTGATGATGTCGATCACGGACTCGAAGACGCTCACGGGGAGCTGGGGGGTGGGGGAGGGGTCAAACCCAATTTTGGGGCTCCCAGAAATTGGGGAAAGCCCAAAACCGGGGGATTTCCCCCAAATTTGGGGGTTTTGTCCCAAATCTGGGGGGTTTTGGCCCAAACTCACGTCGGTGTGCTTGGTCATGGGGTTGAGCTTCAGGAACAGGGGGCTCTCGATGATCTCACACACCTGGGGGCAAGGGGCACAAATTTGGGGTGAGAACCCCCAAAAAATCCCAAAACGGCCCCAAATTCAGGGGGGGATTGTTAAAATATTCCCCAAAATTGAGAAAAAAGCCAAAATTCCAGTGGAAAACGGGGGGAAAATGAACAAAAATGGGGGAAAATTCACTTAAAGTGGACTGAAATAGCCCCAAATATCCCAAAATATCCCAAAAATGCAACAGGGAAGGCAAAATTCTCTCAGGATTCACCCAAAACAAGAAAAGGAACCCAAAATTGCCCCAAAATTCCTTCAAATCCCCCAAAATCCCCTCAAACTCCCTCAATTCCCCTCAAAATTCCCCCAAAATCCAAAAAATTCTCCCAAATTCCCCCAAAATCCCCTCAAGTCTCCTCAAAATTCCCCCCAAATCCATTCAAGACCCCCCAAAATGCCCTCAAATTCCCAAAAATTCCCCCCAAATCCTTCCAAATTCCGCCCAAATCCCCCCAAAATCCTCCCAAATTTGACAAAATCTCCCCAAAAGCCCTTCAAATTCCCCAAAATCTTTCCAAATTTCCCCCAAAATACTCCAAGACCCCCCAAATCCCTCCAAAATGCCTCCAATTCCCCCAAAAATCCCCTCAAATTCCCCCAAATCCTCTCAAATTCATCCAAAATTCTCCAAGATTTGCCAAAATCTCCCCCAAATCCTTCCAAATCCCCCCAAAATTCCCCAAATTCCCCCCAAAATTCCCCAAAATCCAGACCTGTTTGTGCACGTGGATGTCGGCGGGCTCGGGGGGCCCCCCCGTCGTGTACCACCCCAAAAATTCCAGGTCCTTGAACACCTGCTTGACTTTTTTGGGGAAAAAAATCCGAGATTGGGACCCCCCCAGCACCCAGGAAGCCCAAAATTCCCAAAATTCCCCCAAATCCAGCTCAAAATCTGCTCCAGGAGGACGAAAATCGCCCCAAATCCTCTCTGGGAGCCCCAAAATTCTCTCAAATCCACCCCAAAATCCCCTCAAAAAGCCCAAAATCCCTTCAGGATCCACAAATTCCCCAAAATTTCCTCAAATCCACCCCAAAATCCCCCCCAAGAAGCCCAAAATTCCTTCAGGATCCACAAATTCCCCAAAATTTCCTCAAATCCACCCCAAAATCCCCCCCAAGAAGCCCAAAATTCCTTCAGGATCCACAAATTCCCCAAAATTTCCTCAAATCCACCCCAAAATCCCCCCCAAGAAGCCCAAAATTCCTTCAGGATCCACAAATTCCCCAAAATTTCCTCAAATCCACCCCAAAATCCCCCCCAAGAAGCCCAAAATTCCTTCAGGATCCCCAAAATTCCCCCAAATCCAGCTCAAATTCTGCTCCAGGAACCCCAAAATCTCCCAAAATCCCCTCAAATCTCCTCAAAATCCAATCAAATCTTTCCTAGGACTTCCAAAAATTCCCCTAAATCCTTCAAAATCTCCCCAAACCCCCTCAAAATTCCCTCTAAACCCCCAAATCTTCTCAAACCCCCCCAGAACCCCCTCAAAATCTCCTCGAAACCCCCCAAAACCCCCTAAAATCCACTCTGGGACTCCCAAAATTTCCCCAAAATTCCCCAAAATCCCCCAAAATCCCCAAATTCCTCTCACACTGCTCCTCCTTGGTGTAGTAGTACTCCTTGTCGATGAGCAGGGCTCCCAAAATCTCCCCAAACCCCCCAAAACCGCCCCCAAAATCTCCTTGAAACCCCCCAAAAACCCCTAAAATCCACTCTGAGACTCCCAAAATTCCCAAAAGTGCCCCCAAAATCACCAGAATTCTCCCCAAAATCCCCCAATCCCGCTCACACTGCTCCTCCTCTGCGTAGCAGCACTCCTTGTCAATGAGCAGCGCTCCCCCTGAGCCCCAAAACCCCCCCAGGACCCCCCAAATTTCCCAAAAAATCCCCTCAAAAACCCCCAAAACCCCCTAAAATCCACCCCCCCCCAAATCTCCCCAAAACCCCCTAAAATCCACTCTGGGACTCCCAAAATTTCCCCAAAATTCCCCAAAATCCCCCCAAAATCCCCCAATTCCTCTCACACTGCTCCTCCTTGGTGTAGTAGTACTCCTTGTCGATGAGCAGCGCTCCCCCCGAGCCGTGGGCCAGCAGCTCGAAGGAGTTCATCACCTCGATGTTGCGGCCCTCCTGCCGCCCGATCAGCGCCCCGATCACTGCCAGGGGGGATTTGGGGGGTTTTGGGGGGTCCTGGGTGGGATTTGGGGGGTCCTGGGTGGGATTTCCAGCAGCTCGAAGGAGTTCATCACCTCGATGTTGCGGCCCTCCTGCCGCCCGATCAGCGCCCCGATCACTGCCAGGGGGGATTTGGGGGGTTTTGGGGGGTCCTGGGTGGGATTTGGGGGGTCCTGGGGGGGTTTGGGGGGTCCCAGCAGCTCGTTGGGGAATCCTGAGGGGTCTGGGGGGAATTCTGAAGGTCTGAGGCCATTCCCGGTAATTTTGGGGCCATTCCCGGTGCCGTTCCTGAGGTTTGGGGGCAATTTTGGGCATTTTGGGCCCATTCCTGCTGTTTTGGGGCCATTCCCGGTAATTCTGAAGCTCCCCCTGAATTTTTTCCCCTCACGATTTGCCCCATCCCGGTGCCGTTCCCGTTATTCCTGGGGCCATTCCCGTTATTCCTTCCCCATTCCCGGTATTTCCCCCGTTATTCCCGGTAATTTTGAGGCCATTCCCGGTGATTTCGGGGATCCCCCTGAGATTTTTCCCCTCACGATTTGCCGGTGCCGTTCCCGTTATTCCCGGTCTCGTTCCCGGTGAACCCCCGGCGCTCCTGGTGCCATTCCCCGTTACCTGCCCCATCCACCTCCATGCCCCCGTTACTCCCGGTAATTTTGAGGCCATTCCCGGTGATTTCGAGGCTCCCCCTGAGATTTTTCCCCTCACGATTTGCCCCATCCCGCTGCCGCTCCCGTTATTCCCGGTGCCGCTCCCCCCGTTACCTGCCCCATCCACCTCCATGCCCCCGTTATTCCCGGTAATTTTGAGGCCATTCCCGGTGATTTCGAGGCTCCCCCTGACATTTTTCCCCTCACGATTTGCCCCATCCCGCTGCCGCTCCCGTTATTCCCGGTAAGCCCTCCTGCCGCTCCCGGTGTCCCCCCCCGTTACCTGCCCCATCCACCTCCATGCCCCCGTTATTCCCGGTAATTTTGAGGCCATTCCCGGTGATTTCGAGGCTCCCCCTGACATTTTTCCCCTCACGATTTGCCCCATCCCGCTGCCGTTCCCGTTATTCCCGGTAAGCCCTCCTGCCGCTCCCGGTGTCCCCCCCCGTTACCTGCCCCATCCACCTCCATGCCCCCGTTATTCCCGGTAATTTTGAGGCCATTCCCGGTGATTTCGAGGCTCCCCCTGACATTTTTCCCCTCACGATTTGCCCCATCCCGCTGCCGTTCCCGTTATTCCCGGTAAGCCCTCCTGCCGCTCCCGGTGTCCCCCCCCGTTACCTGCCCCATCCACCTCCATGCCCCCGTTATTCCCGGTAATTTTGAGGCCATTCCCGGTGATTTCGAGGCTCCCCCTGACATTTTTCCCCTCACGATTTGCCCCATCCCGCTGCCGCTCCCGTTATTCCCGGTAAGCCCTCCTGCCGCTCCCGGTGTCCCCCCCCGTTACCTGCCCCATCCACCTCCATGCCCCCGTTATTCCCGGTAATTTTGAGGCCATTCCCGGTGATTTCGAGGCTCCCCCTGAGATTTTTCCCCTCACGATTTGCCCCATCCCGGTGCCGTTCCCGTTATTCCCGGTAAGCCCTCCTGCCGCTCCCGGTGTCCCCCCCCGTTACCTGCCCCATCCACCTCCATGCCCCCGTTATTCCCGGTAATTTTGAGGCCATTCCCGGTGATTTCGGGGCTCCCCCTAAGATTTTTCCCCTCACGATTTGCCCCATCCCGGTGCCGCTCCCGTTATTCCCGGTAAGCCCTCCTGCCGCTCCCGGTGTCCCCCCCCGCTACCTGCCCCATCC